TTTTTGAACGTCTGACCCCCCCCCTAAAATTTCGAATCGTGCCCACGTCTGATCTCAATACCATATTTCATATTTCAATAGCGGTAATAAGAAAAAATGCATTCTATTAATGCCATTAAGTGTGTATTCCAAATCACATTTACATGACGTAAAGAAGAGTAAATTCAGTTCGAAACTAATGTGGATAAAACAATTGCACCAATGAATATATTACAATAAGTGTATTGCTTTTAGTTCATTTTCTGCATTGTATAAAATATGTTACCTTGAAAGTTTATTGCAGTCAACGGAGATCAGGGCACAATCAAAGGAAGCTAATGACAGTCGTTTTCTTATTCGAATATCTGTACAATTACACGCATAAAGCGTATGTAAATAGGAGAATCGGTTTTCAAACACATAACAATCGGCACGTCATTTTTAAATAAAATGAAAGAGAAAGAAAGAAAGAGAGAGAAAACAATACTACGAATGTTCGTTCTTTGGTCGATCGGTGACACAAAACAGTTAGTGCAAACGAAAATTGTTCATTTGTGTTTGCTCTTGATTGAATGTAAAAATAGAGAACAGTTAATTAATCAATTTTGTTCAGCTTTCGCACATTTCATTATCAATTTCTCAAGTTTTTTAACAAATCATACTCCGAGTTTGCACTCGTTGCAATATATTACGTTGTTTACGAACACTGCCCAGGCGATTTCATTATTCTTTTTCCTCAATTGAACTTCGTCGTGTCACGTCATTTCTGCGCTTACTTTTATCGCTTTCGAAACAACCGGCAAAAAGGCATTCTAATCAATGAGATTAAATTGTTGCTGATTATACTGGAAGAAATGCGTATGAGATGCAAGTAAAAAGTTTAAATGGACAAGGGAAACCTGCAATGACTGTAATGAAATATTTTTATACTTTTTAAGTTGCAAATGATTGAATTCAGTAAACAAAATAATGGCGACAGCTTCATTGATGCTTTGGATTTCACAATTGCTTCCGAATCGCATAAAAAGCAATATGGAATCATTTGAATCTTTTGTAGGAATTTCAATAAATAGGTTAAAAGCTTGACTACTAATTGTGATTAGGCGAGCAAAAACACGCGAACGTGTTGAAATAGAAAAGCCAAAAATCAATACTTGTTGATTTTGTTGCGAGCCATGCAAGCTGTGAACAGTTTCTTGTTGTATTTATAAATTGCAACATTTTTTGTCTAACATTCAGCAAAAATGAGATTGATTGCAGCTCTCTTATTGTTGTCTTTCTTTCTTTTTGTGTCAAAACAACCGTTTTCGTTTAAAAGAAACATACAACAGATAACACCTAAAAGATAATCTTAAGGTCTAGGCTTTGTTCATATTGATTTATGCCCTGAAGCTCATCGCGTCGTCATCGAGATATATGTACTTTAGAATTGTTTTTCACAAAGAATACATTTTAATTTTTTTTTTGCGCCGTACCTTCTTTGCCCATGTTTAGATACCGCTATTGATATTTGTGACTCATTGCCACTGATTATATACATATATAAAGAAATGAAAAAAAAAATAATAACAACGAAAATCTGAGCTTAAAACGTAATTGCACATTTGCAAAATATAGGACTTACAGTTACACATACAAACTGATTAACAGCTTATTTCCGAGATGCACTTGCATGTAGCCCTTTGATTATCTTTTGCGTAATAAATCAATTAGCTTATTTAGAGAACCTTGCTTGTTATTTGACACACTACCATTTTAAATAATTCCATTCGATCCGTTCGTTTTGTGATAGCTTGTGAGTCTTTGAAAAGAGTAAAATTTGCAGCAGTTCTTCCAAACATCTTATCAGTTCTCTAAATTGATTGTATTGGAATGCTCTAAATAAGTCTCTTTGTTCTGATTGCTTGAATTTGATTAAATGTTACAATGCAACTTGAAATAGGAATACGCATTTCTGTTTTTTTTTTCATTTCAAGACGATCGCTTTGGTGTGCTCCAATGGTATGCTGTCAATTTACATGTAACTATTTTTAGATCAATAAGTTATCATTGAACAATTAAAAAACAAGAGCATGTAACTGTTGGAAGTGCAATATTATTAAGGAGTCAGATAAAAACCCTAGTTATGTGAGAAGAAAAATGTTTGCCAATTCATTCTAGTATTGAATCATTGATATTACAAGTGAATAACAAGACTACATTATCAAGCACACAACAAATTTGTTGAATTATATATTGTTCAAAACTACGAAATAAATGCGCTGCTATCTGCTATTTGTCAGTTGTCATAGACAATTTTAACTTTGCTTCTCCCTGTCGAGCTAGTGGTAGCACCCTTAAGCAGTGAAAATCAGACAGATTCAATGAACTGTGTTCTTGATGCTAGTTCCACACACGTGTTTTCATAATACAGAACATATCTTTCACTTTTGATTTAAATTCGAATTTGTCGGTTGAATCCCAACGGCTACAACAAGAAAGATTAATGATCGTTGATTGTTCGTTATCTTTTTTGCGGTTTCAGCACTTCATCTGTAGGATTTGATGTTTTTATCAAAGATGAGCGGTGTGTATCTCCGCGTCACAAAGGCAGTCAGTCATCCCCTTTGGCAGAATTTCGATTTGATGTTTTAAGATTTCCATCGTGCCTTGGAATCACAATTGAAAATAGTTCCAAGTGTGTTTTTTCAAAGATTGAATAAAATGACTTACAATTCTTCAATTCGAACCAAACTTTCAATATTTTGTGTTGGTATTTCTGGTAATATACGAAATTCATGGATATCTGCAGAGCATTGAAGTTGCTGGCTATGTAGCGCTGCTGGTGAACAGATCTGTTGAACAGCAGCTGTTGGTTGCACGCATATTCGCTGTGACGCGCGCTTGTTCATTTAACGATTCTCACACATAGTGTTTGTCCCTTGCATTCACAAGGAAACAGACAGAGAAGCGTATACAACAGACTCCGAGATAGATTTTTATTTTGTTCATTTACCGTTATTTGTCAACAAGTCTGCCTATATCCACGCATTGCCACTTTACATAGTTACAGTCCATAAGAAATATAAAATGTTCGCCATTTAGTTTTATATTGCCATTGCATTTGTTATGGGGATTTTTGTTTCGTTTATTTTTTGTTGTTTGTAAACAAATCTGCCTATCTTTTTTCATCGTCTCTGTGTATTATAATGCAGAAAGATAGGCAGATTTGTACCAAAAATAGCGACTTGGTGTCTTAGGCAAACTCGTAGCACTCAAACCGCTCTACAACTTTGCTGAAGACTCTTATCAGTTCAGCAAAATGCACGAAAAACCGCGAAAACGTAAATTTACAGTTTCTCATTTTTTAACGGAACTGATAAGAGATAAGTGATATCTAGTTTAAGCAAACTTGTAGATGACCACCAGTACTTCAACTTCGCCAAAGATACCAAGTCGCTATTTCTTATCGCAGTTCAGTTTCCATACAAAATGTACTTGGGAATAACACGGCGACATGTGTTGTTAGAGGCAATATCTCACAGATGCTTACACATACACAGACAGAAATTAGGATGTAGAATTGCAGATGACGTTTGGAATATGTCAAAAAGCAACTTTTTTCCGACGGCGCTTGTGATTTGTCCAACTATTCTGTAATTTTGAAGGGTTGCAAACTTTACAACCGCCATATAAAGAAGTTGCTCTTTGACATATTCCAAACGTCATCTGCAATTCCACCATCCTAATTTCCCTCTGTGTATGAACGTAAAAATTCACTGGTATGTAGCTAAAGGTTCGAGCTATCGAAAGGTAGTACGCTCATGATGATTTTTTCAGTTTTTAGTACTTTTCTCTGCAATTCAAAGTCACCTCGAGCGCTATACGCCGCAAGGATGAACGAAAGGATAATCTAGGGGTGACTAGTTATTTTATTTATTGGTTTACTTGAGTTATTTTCCCATTTTTCACTTGAGAAAATTCTAAATAGGTTAATTGAACAATTTATAAAAACTTTCTTCAATAGATCCTTGCAAAACAGGAAACATGCAAAACAGAAAATGGCGCGATCAATTATCATAATCTTGTCTGCCATAGTAAATTGTTTATTTTCTTCAAAATTGATCAGTTAAAAATGATACAGGAAACGTTTTATCAACATCTGAAGTTATAACCTAATAAAATTTGAATGCAATAGCAAAAACAAAAATGGTACTTGACAAAAATTATTCCCATTCGTCACGCATTCATTTGATATGTTTAACGCGTTCATTTATTACGTCATTTCGGATGGGTCATTTCAATTCATTTGATTGCTCAAAAATTTTGCAATCGATTCTTAAAATCCTGGAATGATTTTCTAGTCGAAATTGTGTTATCGCATAACACAACTTGATTAAAAATCGAAAAGAGAGAAGGAAGTACAAAACTATCGGAAACAGTGTGAGTTTTTTTTTTGTAGTTTGATCATAAATTTGAGCCAAACAGCGATATCGATGTGAACAACGGGCTCATTTACTCTCCAACGATTTCGATTTGTGGTCTTGTTGTTATGTACTTTTTCAAATGAGGAAAAGGCATAACGTTGCGAGTATACTTTTCTGACAAACAAATACCCAATTCAAATAGAGAGAACTGGACATTGTTTATGTTTGATAAGAATCTTTCATTCGCTGACACTTGGCTTACGATTTTTGTGTAACTGATAAAAATAACGTCATGTTTGCGTTAGTATTAAGATTAGTGCGGACGAACTCCATTGTGATTAAGTGCGCACACGTATGCCCCAAAATATTTTTGATTCACTGCGCGTGTGTCAAATGAATGAGAGCATTCGCGCATGGTTTATTCGGTCAACAAATAAGTGTACGTTTGGGATCATATGTTCAACTGGGCCTTTGCTTAGGATTGAATATAATCCAACTGAAATAAAATAAAATATTCAGCCAAATATTATGAGACGACTTGGAAACCATGATTCATAGCTGAAAATACACGGGTCATTTTTGCTACAATCGATTGGTGGGCAATTTATAGGCGTTTTGAACCATTGACTACCAATCTTCATTCCCCATTTGTTATTGGTCCATCTATTGAACAAAAATGTGTAAATAATTAAGTTGTTTTGGCACACATACAATTACAATGAGATTATTCGTGCCGACAATATATTGAGCTTGATTTAATTCAAGTTGAATTTTGTTTTTTTTTTCCCCAAATTAATCAATTTCTCACCAAATTTATTTCCCTTTATTTTGCAGGCGAAATGACATCGGACTTTTTTCGTGTTGTAAATGAAGCTCGATCACACTCTCTAGGGCCTTTCAGTCCATCGTTTAATATTCAAACATGTTTGCTGGAAGGTTTGCAGAAATTCTTACCACCAGATGCTCATGAACGCGTTAATGGCCGTTTGCACGTGTCGCTAACACGAAGCTGCGATGGAAAAAATATAATTGTCTCTCAATTTGATAGTCGTGAAGATTTGTTACAAGCATTATTATGCGCTTGTTTCATTCCTGGATTTTCGGGCATTTTGCCGCCGAAATTTCAAGGTGTTCGCTACATGGATGGAGCTTTCTCTGATAATTTGCCAGTCTTAGATGAAAATACAGTCACTGTCAGTCCATTCTGCGGCGAAAGTGATATTTGCCCGCGCGACCAAAGTGCGCAACTGTTCCACGTAAGAAGTTCATTCAGCAAAATGTGAAAACTCATTCAATATTTGGCTCCTTCTGAACTCAATTGATCTTTTAAACAGGTGAATTGGGCTAATACAAGCATTGAATTATCTCGACAAAACATAAATCGATTCATCCGCATTTTGTTTCCTCCGAAGCCGGAAGTATTAAGCAATATGTGCCAACAAGGTTTTGATGATGCCCTTCAATTTCTACATCGAAATAATTTAATTAGCTGTACTCGTTGTCTGGCTGTTCAATCGACATTCGTCGTACAAGAGGCAATACCCGAAGAAGAATTCGATCCAGAATGCACAGATTGCCAGCAACATCGCAACGTATGTAATTTGTCTCGAATATCCCATAATTTTTTTTATAAATAGTTCTATCTATTGTTGAATAGGCTGCATTAATTGGAGATATGCCAGAAACTGTTCTAACTGTGTTCCAAACGTATATTGAATCAGCGAATAAGGGTTTGGCCAATTGGATGTTTCGGGGGCACAAAGGAACGAAAATTCTTCAAGCGCTTTCGTTACCAGCAACACTTCCAGCCGATTTCGTTTGCGCAACTCTAACAAAGTTAGTATTTTGTCAATTGACATGAGATGTAAATGTCCATTATTATTCTGCCGAAGTATCGATCGCTCCTATGGATTGTCTGTAATCACACAAGAGAGTGAGAAAATTTATTACAATGTATCGGAATCGAAACGGAAAGTTACTATTTTTCGGTCGTATTTTGGATTATCGCAATAAAATTTCCGCAAATTTTTGTGAGAATATCAAGACTAAATCTCATTAAATCTCCATTCATTTTGTGTTCACAAATTAATCACGTGACGTTCAGTGATTTATCCTTTCATGTCGCATACATTGCCAAACGAAAATGTTAGAACTATTTTTAGCACACACGCTGCAGTTCCATTTATTGCATTGCATGAAACCCGATAAAAGTGGCTTTCAAGGTGTTCCACTGAACTATGGAAAAAATATTCACGGTGGCAGATTAATTTTTTGCTTAAATCATTGCTCAAATGTGTCAAACCACTTTCTTTCGAAACAAACAAACATTTATGGGATTTTGAGCATCTTTTCTCTTATTTACAGTTGCGTTGACAGTATTTATACCAACATATTCCGTTATTAGTGCCAATTTATGCGGTGCCGTTACCACAGTTTGGCCAATGGATTTTAAGACATTTTTTAAGCAATCATAAATAAAAAGATTCAATTAAAACACTTATATATAACTCATCAATTGTGAGGCGATACATACAAATAAATTTATACACATTGAATCATTTAAGTGCAGTGTTGTCAGTGCTGATGAAGTTGCTCTATTTTTATCAAATTGAAATATTATAATAACTTATTATGATAACAAAAAAAAAAATTTAAAAAAAGACACCATCTTATCGCAAAATGTAGAACTTAAGAGCTAAATGTGATATAAATATATTCGATGATTTCTCTACTAAATACCAAGAATGCCGTCAAACATTCAGGTAAACATTCAGAATCCCATTCGAATTTAATGCATTCTTGGCCTGCAGTATGTGTGCGTTTTTGTGCGTGTGAAAAATTAGATTTATATACATTTGCTTCACAGGTTGGTGGCAGCCGCTCCATGTATACGTGAGCAATTTTGGTCGCTGAGCAAATATGTCTTGAGTCAATTGAATGCCATTCTGAAAGCACGGGGCCATCCAAAGGTGATACAATACTGAATTGGTTCACGAAAATAAAACTTACTGAAATGATTGTTTTTTTTTGTGTTATTTCAGATATCGGGAAATTTAGTGTCAATTGATTTAGCTAATAAACAGAAAGCCAAGCATATTTTAGCACATCGTTCGTCAAAAATTGATGTTTTCCATAACAACCAAGATGGGTAAGAAGAATAATTTGATTTAATCCGACGGTGATAGTTTCAGATTTATACATAGTTTGATATCACTTCTTCATCAGAACACCAAATGTTACAAAAGACTCCCCTGATTGCAACAGTTGTAATAGTGAATTTAATCCGGCCTATTCGTTTGAACTTAAAACGAATCCAACTCAAGGCGAGGTAGATACATTCGACCATATACTGCAAGTTACAGCCCACCACGATTCTGTCTATGCATACTACTACATGGACGATAACAACAAAGTAAGCACAACGTTCTTACTCAATTATTTCTTCGCGGTTAAAATTTTGATTGTGTTTTCAGGTGAAGTTCACAAAAATTGTTGATTTAACCGACAGCAGCAAAAGTGGGGGTGATCAGCATTCCGAATGGGAACCTTCCAAAACAGGTGCTGTCAACAATTCGATTAGATTTTACCAATACGGGTATAATCACGATAGAAAACTTTCATTTAAACATAAAATCATTTCACATTCAGTGTTATGAAAGGAGTCTTTAAATGAAAATAAAACCTACTGACACTAAACAGTATATCTCTGGAAAATCAATTGTGATCATGTCTTTATAATTGATATCATTATTTATTTTTTTCAATTCAGATTGCACATATGATAAAAATAATGTCAAACATCATCAAATCCACGCTCATGTGAATGACAACGCAAGCAATAACAACAATAATTCAACAAATGTAAACAATAACCAGAAATTGAAGCGTCAATATACTACAAGCGAAGATGGCCCTACGATCAGTGAAGACGATCTAGATAATTTGATAAACCAATCTATCAATGAATGGCAGCAGCGCCAAAAAAATAGTGTCGATACTGAGAAAGTAAGCATCGACATCGATCTAGCTCAACCGGCTTCAATCATTTCGTAATACGCAACCAAAGTACTTCTATAAATGATAAGCTGTGCTAATTTTTAATTTATTATTATTATATTCCCCGTCATTTTTTTAAACTTTCGTTTGCAATTTCTGAATTTGATGCCGTTTGAAGGCTCTATTTAAATTGAAGATTGATGCTCAAGTGTGCACAATTTGTAAGTTTTATGTTTCACTTTGGTGTCATAATTTGAAACAAACCAATGTGTGAAAAAGCGAAAATGACCAAAGAGATTTAGAGAAAATAACTAATATGATCCATTTACTTATTTGTCACTGTTGACTGCAAATATTGTTTTTTTTTCGGAAAAGTTATTTTATTCTCAACCATTAATATATTATCGATCCCTACCGATATTTCTCTTTTGAGTTCCAAAGAAAATAGGTTTTTTCCATTTTATTCGCTAGATTTCGTTGTAAAAATTTTATTACCACACATTATTCACTTAGTTACGGATTAAATAATAATTTTTAAAATTATAATCTTTTTTTCAAATATCATGTCTATTTTTTTTTCTAATTTATAAGCAAATTTTTTCAATGGACACATGTTTTTTAAACTGAACCAAGTTTTAATATCTTCATTTGAAAAACTTCCATATTGAACACCTAGATGGCGTTATTAGAAATAAACTTGGGTTAAAAAAGCTGCAATTGGTTCGAGTCTAGTCCGTGAAAAAATATCCTATTGTGAATAGGTATCTCACTTTATTTACGAGGAGATGCTTCACCTTCCGACTATTAGAGCTGGTATGCATTTAGTGATTGGGAATAATGTTATTAAGATGTTCCACGTGATACACTACACTTCCAGCAGCCAGCACATTATATGCCAGTGCCGAGTTAATGTTTTGTGGTGCCCTGAGGCAACAATTTTTTGGTTCCCTTTGAATTTTTTTAAAAATCAGTTGCAATTTTAACACTGTTTCAAATGTTTCACTTAAATATTAGTACAAAGTTCAACACTCTTCATGTTTTATATTCACCATTGAGCATGTAAATTTTCAACAACGAAGTGGCAATACCCACCACACAATCCCAATGAGACTTCTTAATTCGCTATTCGCGACATTGCGACAAGACTCGAATGGGAAGTTATGTTAAAATAAACGACAAATTTAGTTTTATAACTAAATTAAACAAATTGAACATCGATCAAATCTCAAAAGGCTTGTAATAAAATTACATCCTTCTATGAAAATGGTCTTGATGCCAAGGTTTAAATTTTCCCATCCGCTCGATAGAGCCTCCATAGATTGAATCGAAAGAGTTTTTCAAAAGAAACTCTTTCAAAAGAATCTTTGCGAAAATTTTCAATATTCTGCTACAAATTACGGCTGTAAACTATATTCAAATGATTGGTTTTGATTTATATTTTAATACTATGAAGAAAAAAAACTAAAAAAATTGATTTGTATTAAATTTTATTGAAATTATTGATTTCATTAAAACGATCATTTTGACAATCGTATAAATGTCAAGTATGGCATGAAGTTGTAGTGTATGGTGAAATGTCACAAATCATTGTACGACGATTGTCAAAATATGGATCAAACGAAATCAATTATTTTAATAAAATTTAAAACAAATCAATTTTCTTAGTTTTTTTCTTAATAGTATTAAAATATAAATCAAAACCAATCATTTGAATATAGTTTACAGTCGTAATTTGTAGCAGAATATTGAAAATTGTTGCAAAGATTCTTTTGAAAAACTCTTTCGATTCAATCGATGGAGGCTCTATCGAGCGGATGGGAAAAATTAAACCCTGCTTGATGCAAACGAATTAATTTCTGAATGCGAAATCGTCAAACAATATTTCTTCGAAAGTTCCAGTACTCTCGTTTCGCACGCTTCAATCCATTCGAAAATCCATGAAGAACAACTTCAAGCCGTTTTCCCGAATATTGATGTTATGCTGCGAATTTTTACATCGTTGTTCATTAAAAACGTGCCAGATGAACGTTCTTTTTCGAAGGTAAAATACATAAAAGATACATTGCGGATGGATAAGGAACTGAATGCATTTGCCTTGATGTCGATCGAAAACGAAGTTTTGGATTCTTAAGATATGGATGAAATAATAGAGAAATTTGTTTTGTTGAAGAACCGAAGAAAAATAAAGTGGTTATCTAGATTCAATTGAATATAAGTTAATTAATTCTAGATTTTAATTTGATATGCAACATGCAGCAAAAAAAATAACAGTAGGTATCATTGCTGTGCGCAAATTTCCTGTATTTATTTATTCTTAATGCGAGCGGTAGCGAGCGAGATTTTTTTTCAAAAACAGCACTTTATGGGGCACCATAAACAGCTTTTCAGAGCATGATTATTTTTCTTAGGGCACCAAAACATCAACAATTTTTTTCATTTTCTCTCTTTGTGGTGCTCCCAAATGCGTGGTGCCTTGAGGCAATTGCCTCAATCGTCTCTATAGTTAACGCGGCACTGATATATGTATTACAAATTACTATTCCAAGTGTTCATTGAAGTTTCAGACATTTTCTTTCACAGGATATAGGAATATATTTCCTGATTCGCTGCCATTTGATACTAAGGTGAAGGTAAAAAAGTAGATCAGCTGTCAAATAGGTCTAATATAACTAATCATCAATTAATAAAGAAATTGAAGCAAGACATTGGAACGAAACCATATAAATTTAAATTTCAGTTTTATACCAGTTTATACCAGTTTTTTCGACCAGTTTTTATGCCATAATTCTTATATTTTCATAAGCTTTCTGTGTACCAAATTTTATCCAAATCGGACAAAAAATATTTTTGAGAAAAAAAATGAAAAAAGTGAAAGGAATCGTCCAAAAGATTTCAGAAACATGCTCATAACTTTTGAACCGTATGACCAATGTCGATGATTTTTATATGTAAATTGATCGGAATGAGCTCACCAACGCGCCTCTAATCGATTTGATCCGATCGATAGTTTTCGAATTATGGATGTGAACGTGAAGGTGATACTTCATAGGTGCGCAAAAATAACTACACGCAAAAACTTGCAGACTCGATTTTAACGATAGAGGTATGGTTCCTTGGGCAAATTTTCTTGGAATGACCCATAGAACACGGAAATCATAGGTATTTGGTCGATTTTTTTCACTCCCTACAAATCGACCCGCCCTAATATACATATACGATGAATGAAAATATCAATGAAAATAATTTCAACGGTCAAATCACCATTCACCAAACCAACATATATACATATATAGGAGGAATCAGTTGAACCATATTGGAATAAAATCAAATATATATTGGAAAAAACGAACGGGAAATTGTGCGTGCGAAGGAGGGGTTTTTCGAGCGTCGGTCAAAATTTTCAATTTCGGATGGGACTGGGGAAGTTTGTGAAGGAATGCAGTGACCTCCTGGTCAATTTTTCGGTACGGTTCCGACCTCAAGCTGAATCATAAAGCTTAAGCAGTGCATAGGAAACATGCATATTTTGCGAGGGGCAAATCACTTTTTATTCATTAAATTCATTACATTTTCATTAGTTTTATTACTTTAGGAAAAAAGGGAAAGTATAGGAATTGGTCCCGAAAAATTGTTTCGCAAAATTAGCTTAGATCATCATAAAAACTCATGAAACGCGTAGAAAACACATTTTTGGGACACTTTTCCGTTCGTTTGGCGTCCTCTTCGTCGTCATCGTTGTCGTAGTAGCTGTTTGTTAACACGATAATTCGAAAAAATTGGTTCAAGTTCAAGGATGAGATTTCCGATGTGACCCATTTCACAAGCATTTTCCCACCATTTGAGGCAAATACACTAGCCTTAAATGGTGCGAAAATGCACTGAATATTTCGTTATTGAAAATTTTGCACGAAAAGTTTATTCAAATTTATCGCACCGGTAGTTCCATCCAGTAGCTGTCAAATGAACAGCGCCACACATTTCAACGGCAATTTTGACACTACTCAATGTTTGACAATGTGAGCGAGACGTAAGTGCGTCCACGATCGTGCTCTTTACACTACGAGCGTGCGTCTACACTGGTGTTCAATGTTTGGACGCTCTTTAGTTTGCAAATAATGTTATGTTGTTTTTGTAGTGCTATCCCCGTGAAATTTTCATTATACTTTCTAGTAGAAATGATAGAGAATAAACGTTTCAAAATTATTCTTGGGCAGAATCAATACACTGTACAAAATTGCAATCGAATGCGGGTTCCAATACTTTTATGGAAGTGCTTAAGACTTAACCCTCTACCGTGACATTTTTTACTTCTCCACACGACCATGTCGTGTTAGAAAATTATTGGGATCGCATCAGATTTTTAAACCCCTCGAAAACCCGTTTTTTTCGATTTCTGAAATCCAAAAACGCGAATCCGGCGATTTTCTGAGGTCGTAGGATTGGTGCACAGTAAACACAATGATTCCAGCAATGTTGAGATTTGACACTTAACTTTGTTTTGATACCATTTGTACTAGAAAAAGTTCAAAAGTTCTATAATAATTCATGTATTTTTGTGCTTTGATTTTTGATTTAGTACATTTTGAACTTTTTCTAGTACAAATGGTACTCAAATGGATTTTAGTGCCAAATTTCATATTGCGGTTCTAAAAGTTAGAGCCATCGTGTTTACTGTGTGTGTATTAAACTGTATGCAAAAATGGTAAAAATTGTGTTCTCAAAAATATGTGCTTTTTCTGTCGAAAATATGCAAATTTTCAGCCAGTTTGGAGAATGGTCGATATATATCCCATTTATATGTTTAGCTTCCACGTGTAAACAAAGAAGTATATTGCAAAAAAGTTTCAAATATAATATTAATTCTATATTATTGGGAAAAGATTTTCAATTGATAGACCTATTAGTATTGTTACGTAAGTCTTTTCACAATCAATTCATCACACAGATGTAGCATTCATAGCAATACACGGAAACAAATCAAAGAAGAAGAGGTGGAATCGAAAAAGGATTTTAATCTATAATTGAACACACATTGTTACACATAAAATATATATTGTTGCTGCTTATTGAAGTTGAATCTATTCAGTTAAGTATGTATGTTTCTTAGATTTGACTCCAGAAGAAAAATAATAGTTTCAAATGGTTGATACGATCCTGTAAGATGGATTTTTTTAGTTGAATACCCCAGAAACCCTTTTTCTAGAAACGCATTTGATCCGTTAATTCGATCTGTTCCGTATTATTCATTTTTATTGCCGAGATCCTTAAATCTGTTTCAATGCTCGATAAGTTGATATAAAATTATAATTATGATGATAACTACAACATTTTTGCTCAGATGTTACATTTGAGTAATGAATGTTGTACAATTTTGAAAGATATGAAGAAACATAGAAAATCCAAAGAATGAATAAAGAAAAAAGGATTACTCGTCGAACTATATTGAAAAAAAGCATTTCAATTTATTGCAGATGTTTTGTCTGAGCGTTGTGTGGTTTGAAAATCCTTTCTGTTGGCATCCAAAAGTGATCGATTCATCATTTTTTTTTTGTAATCTGT